CAGTATAATCAGTATAATTTAAAAAAAGATGCGCTAAGATTTGAAAAGGATATTCGAAGAATGTAGAAACGTGCACGTGAAGAAACAGCTACAATTTCTAAAATTTATTCTCAAGAGATTGTCAAAGCAAGAGTCGAAAATTCTGGCCTTCCAATTGTTAGTCTATTTCCAACACTTTCCAACACTGATGCATGGCTCTATCGTCGTCGTGCAATTAATTATCCTAAATTACCAACAACAATAAACGAAATTAGTTTAAATGGTTCATGGAAATTAGATGAAAATGCTGGTGATTTTCTACTGGTAGATGAAACATGTAAGTAACTTTATTCTTATATTATTATTATTCTTATATTATTACATCATCAAGCTGAAGAATCCGATATTCAGACGCGGAAACGAAAAAAAATCTATAATGACATTGATAATAAACTAAAGCAAGTACTTATTAGTCATAGTAGTGGTATGCTAACTAATGTTCAATTAGCTATTAAATGTGGTAGAGCTGTGAAAACAAATCCGGCTAAAAAATAAATTATTTTTTTGGTTACTCATCTGTTGTGAATAAAATATGTGAAAAATTAGTTATCTTTCTCTGTATTGTAGTATATTCAGCCTACGAGGCATAGCAAGATACTGTGTGCTTCTAATTCTCATCATGATAAATTAATTATTCCTTAATGTGAAAAAGAAGCTGACTAAATGTTGAAAATTATACTTTAAATATCTGGGACGAACTGAGAGTTAAATATATATACAAATTTAGTTGGGCGAACTGAGAATAAAACGTATGTGAAAAATTAGTTGGGACGACTTGAGAAAAAGAATTTATGGGACGAATTGAGAGAGACTAATTTGGGACGAACTGAGAGAACACCCCCAAAATCAGCTCTACTGTACTTTAGAAAGGAAAGCGCCGGTTGTATTTTTCTTTCGCCTTGATCTCACAGTTCTTCTACTTTATTTTCATATATTGCACATAATAGAACGACATGAGCATGAAAAGGAATTATTTTTATAGATAGATTATTTATTGAGACATAAAATATTCAAACAGTTTTCCACTCTAAATATAGGACGACTTTTTGACGACAATGTTGGAAGTTTACCTTTATAGTTAAATAGACAGAAATATGTATGAAAATAGTATAAAAGATACAAAAAAAAGCTCTGTAGAGGAAAGGTACACGGTGTACATTTTCTTTAGAGAACTTTTAACTGCTGGACGTACGTTCATACTGACTAAACTGAATATTCGATGAAAATAGAATTTGTTATTCTCTTACATTGAGTTTAAGAAAAAAGTCGTCCTATAAGCATGTTGTGTAGTTCACTTGCTTCGTTTTTCTAATTTTCACAAAATAATCCGAGCAATAAATCAAGCAAAATTTGGACACAAGCTTCCTCTAAATAACATTGTTCGATGGGCAACCACGAAAGCTTTGGTGATCATTTAAAACTGGTAAAGTTTTTTAATGAAACCAGAAACTATAGATTTTGCCAGTTTTAAGCAGCGATATTGACAGTCTGTTGGATGGAGTAAAACTATAAAAAGAAAGATAAATTTTCTAAGCAGTTTTCCTCTAAAGCAAGACTGAATTTCTTGCTATCTAACACTATTTACTCGTTCAACACAAAGCCTTATAATATAAAAACACCTTGTAAACATCTTATAATATCAAAATACATTTGCTGAAGCCATGATACAGTCTATGCTATGTATCTTATCTTATTTATGTACAGAACAGAAATTTTTTTTATTTTCTAGCAAACACAGGAAGAGAAAAAACATATGCTTTACTTTAAAAATGAAAGTCTATGTCTTACTCCGGAAATCAGGCTTGGGCGAGTCCGAGTCCGGACTGGAAGATTTTTTGGCGGACTCGGACTTGAGTTTTTGTATTTCGAGTCCGATCTATTCAACTTTTAACACAAAGAGCAGAGAAAATGAAAAGCGAAATAACAACACCAACTGTTTCACATGAAACTGAACATTTTGTTCGGGAGACGGACGTGGAACATAACCTTATTTTCGAAAAATCAAATATCTATCCAGGGCTCAGCAAATTAAAATGTAAACCACCCTCATCAAAAAGAATCTACAAGATTACCGGACTCGAACTCGCCCATGCCTGCCAGAAATAGAAGTAAATATCTTACTTTTGAAAAGAGAGTAAATTCCTAACTACAAAATTGAAAGTCAGCCTTTTACTCTCAAAACGGGAATAAATATCTTACTCCAAAATTGAGAGTAAACACCTTACTCTAAAAATGAGAGTAATTGTCTTACTCTGAGAATACGAGTAAACGCTTTACTCTATGGGATATTCTCGTAAGTCAAAGACATCATTTTCGGAGTAAGAAAATCTTGATTTCGGAGAAAATTTTTTCAAAAAGCAGGAAGGGGATCCCTTCCCTCCCTCCCGTTATCGGAGCACCCCTGCGCCGATAGAATAAATTAGTTCGTACTTGTTTTTCAACAATGCTGTACTCATGAGTTTGTTAAACAGAGGAAACAACATAATTCTACTGCTGTTGGACTTTAAAAATAGATGATGGAAATTTATACTGTCGATAACGTTCTAAAGAAATTAACAGCTGAAGAAAAAGATTTGTAAACTCGTTATACACAACCCCGATAATGGAAGGGAGGGGAGGGATCCGGCTCGTGTTGGCGCACAGGTCACGTAGGGTTGAGTTTAATTTAAAAAGCTGCCTCGGGTCAATAAGATGTTAGTAAAGCGAATCTTTTTTAATGTCGTAGACCATTGGTACCGTTTTGCGCGTGTGCATAACTAATTCTGAACCTATTATTGCTTACATGACATTCTAATCCCTGTTACCTCTATGCCTGGGAAGAATTTTTTCTTCGCACTAATTGGGTCAGAAACCTAAAAAGGGACTCTTCTTACACTGAGGGACCGTCCGCACACATCCCTCATTCAATCAAAAACAAGATGCGCCCGAACACGCTTTTCTCTCGTTGAGAGAAAAAAGCTCGTTTAGAAGCGGCTTAAGGGCCATCTTGGTTCCAAAAAACGCGTTCAGGCAAGGTTTTTTGGTAAAAATTAAAGCAAGATGCGTCTGAACGTTCGTTGTTATAGCTAAATTTTCCATAGGGGCTGGTTTATTTTATAGTTCAAATACAAGATATATTTTTAACAAGAAATGTATATAAAATTAGGTCATTATTAGTTTAATATCTTTCTTTTTTAAATGAACTTCCATTCGATTGGGACTGGCTCATCACTGTCCTCAATATTATCATCTGTCACAGTTTTGAAAGCCGCTAATGCCAAACCAAGGTCACCTTAAAAAAAGAATGAAAATCCTATTCAATCCATTATTTTTTTAGCAAGCGATTAACTACCTTTGCCACAATCAGCCTCTGATGGACATCTGTCAACAATTGTAACGGTAACTTGTTTTCCACTCGGACCTGTTACTAGTGCTTTTCTATTACACGATGGGTTCGTACTTCCTATACCGTTTACTGTAAATGGATCGAATTGTGCATAGTTCAACGAAGCAACTGCGTCATCATTTGTCGTTGAATTAAAGCCACATGCTGTATAAAGATAGTCATCGGTAATCGTATACAATTTAGCCCGACCAGCATGAACAACACCATCAAGCGACGGGACACTGATTTCGGATGATGATTTTCCAAACCATCGACAGTATGAAGTTCCACAGTATCCATAACCAGTACAGCAAAGACTAGACCCACATCCAGTAGAGGCACAATTGCCGTAGCCTTGCCAACCGTAGCTGCCACAATAGGCAGCTGTACTACCGCAGCTGTAATGGAAGAGAAAAGTATTAATTAACTTTATTTGCAAAGCATATATCACGTACTATCCGTATCTGGAGCAACACATTCCAGCTGGACATCCAGTTGACAGACATCGACCAGCATTATAGTCAACTACAGCCGGCTGACCACATCTTCCGCATCTAATAAGGAAAAAGATAAATTTATTGTCATTGTAATTTGAAACAAGAATATAAAACTTACCGGCCGTACGAGGCACAACAATAGCCTGTTGGACAGCCGAGCGTACAGGCGGCATCTTTATACAACGAAAGCACTTGATGAGAACAGCAGTTAATTAAAGTGTTATTTTACTCACCAATATTATTGATGGCTGCTATAAGAAGTAGAGCAATAATTGATTTCATTGTAAAAAAGAACTGAAAAATAATTTATGCCAATGAGTTGTTGTAATAGTAATATATATATGAATTTTTAGTAAATATGAGAAAGATTAAGAAGTCGTTCTCTCTAATAGCAGAGATTAATTTTATTTATCTTTAACATTTGAAATTTACAAAAACATAACACGTATGATGCTAATCCTACATACACGCACTAAGAATAGAAAGATTATGCCCACACAATATGAACACACTTTCTTTCATCGTTTCCTAAGTTAAAACATGTGATCGCACGTGTTCTGTAGAAACTTAAATCGAAGAAGGTCAAAAATTGATCGACATGATTGAAGCGGTACAAGAACAAGTAAATGAAATGAATGTAGAATTGATGAATGTGAAAAGTGCCGTCGAACGTATTCTGTTACCAATAATGACAGTCATTGCCAATGCTATTAAACCGTTAACAATTGAACATTTCAAACAACCGGAATAACAGCAAAATCAATAAAGATGTGTGCTCAAATGATCGACGAGTTGCGACAGTTATTAGAAGAGTATAAAACAATGATGGATAAAGCATTAATGGCAAAAAATGAAATCTTACAATGAAAACGACATCAAATGCCGTAAGTCAATTTTCTAACAATAATGATAACTAATCCTAATGTTGAAGCTGAATCGTTTAAGCTAAGGATATTAGAAAATCTATGTCAGACAAAATAATTATGGTTTATGGAACGAACACCAACAAATCTGAATGGCTATTTTACAAGAATGGCAACGGGAACCGACGTTAAATGAGGTATGTAAAAAATGGGAATTGTCGAAGATCGTAAACGATGATAAACTCATACCGTTCATCATCTTGAACTACAATGATGAAGGAGTAATGACACACTATCTGCAAGTAGTATCATTACCTGAACACCATAAAATATCTGTGGCGTTTTTAATAGAAGTTGGCATCATCGACATCGAAATTTCTTCAAAATTTGTTTCAACACTACATGATACATTACCAGAAAAGAATGGAAGTTTACGATGGAGTAGTATTACTTTTGTTTAGAGTAACTGCATTTTAGTATTCATTTGTTTCTGACTTATTATTTCAGATTTGGTTCATATGATTTCTGGTGAAAAACTTCAATTTTTCAGTAGAAGGGGAATTCGATACAGGCCCTCGATGCTTGATAAGTTGGGTTTTGGCCAAAAATGCTACATTGAAAAATCCATTTCTCGTATTCTTTACTTCGAATCCTCTTTTATTCTACTTTTTCAGAAAATTGCAATCGCAGACCAGGCATCAACATTGTAGCACACTGAGAAAATTCGCTCATAATATCTTGCATTTAGATCAAGAAGCCTATTCTAATGACGTGATTTTGAACTTTGTGGTGATGAAAAACCTTTAATTCTAAACTTGATCAGACAGGCCGGTTTGCAGTGCCATCTGTTCCATCCTATAACTCGAGAACAAAGTAGTTTTAAGTAACGCTATATATATCATTATCTAGTTACATATAAACCTATAACAGATATGAATGCCATTTAAATCTGTGATATCAACAATTACGGTCTGTCTGAGTCTACCGGATAATTGTTCTTAATACTGCCACCAAATTATTAATATAACACCGATTTTTTATCCATTACTCGCAATATATCGGCGATGCATGGCAGTTTTCTTTGTGCCTATTTCAATGCATATACAATTTGTCGGTATATAACATTTATTGTCGATTATAGCAGAAAGCACAATTAATTGATGAAAATGAAATAATTTTCGTGACATGAAAAGTTTCGATCTCACTGGACAATTTTGTCATAGAGATGAACATCAGAACGCGTTTTTCTCATACACATAAAAAAATAGGAGCATGAACGCCGTTTACGATTTCAGTGATCGTGAGAACTCGTCTAAACGCGTTTTTTCATCTTTTAAATATTTTTTTCAACAATAGATGGATCTAGACTCGTCCTTCAGTTCAGAAACTCGTATTAATTCTATTGTTTGCATCTTCTGAACTCATATTTTGTTTATCTATCTGTTTTCGAGTCCATCAGTACAAAATTTCTATAATGAAAAACAAATAAGTAAACAAAGAATCATATTATGTATCTCAACTTAAGAAATGTTGAAAATATATTAAGAGAATGAAAGAGAGAAGAATAACCATAAATGTGTTGACACATGTTAAAAATACTTTTTATATTTAATCTGACTTCAAAAAATACAATACATTTAATTATTCTTACCTACATTGGTTAAAACGAAAATCGACATGATTAGTTTGAACAGTGACGAATGAAGCAGATGATAGAAGAATTTACAGTAGATTATCATATACAAAATCTAAAGTCATAGATAGAGATGGGCCATAATGAAGTCGAATAGAACGAATACGTTTAATGTGAAGTATACGAAGCGGCAGAAAGAAGAATTATCTCATTTTCGTTCTCTTCACTTCATTATTATGTCTCATCGCGAAGAATCGATTATTCATATAACTTAGTTCCGTTTGTTCTCATTCGGAAAAGGCAGACTATATTCATATCACCGGAAAAAAAATAAAGTTGGTTTAGAGTTGCTGAAAAGTGGTTTTTCGTATTCAGCACACTCGATAACCCAGAAGATTTTCTGTTTTTGGCCCGAGATACTTCCAAAAGTTTAGGAAAAATTTTCAAATTAATATTATTTCCCATGGAAAACTTTTTGCGCCATTTTGTTCAAAATTTTTCTTAAACTTTCGGAAGTACTCCGGGCCAAAAATAGAAAATCTTCTGGGTTATCAAGTGTGATGAATACGAAAAATCACTTTTCAGCAACTCTAACCCAACTTTATTTTTTTTGTTCCGATGATATGATCACTGATTTATGAGTAAGTATAGACAAAAGTATCGCAAATCGGACAAATGAACAGTATATAACTGGTTGCGAATAAACGTAATGATGAGCTTCTTACGAAAGAAACGTAATAACGTCAATTTCAGACAGGGATGAATAAGGAAATATAATAGAATTAGTTAAGCTATGTAGACAGTGAGTCAATTTAAATTTATCAGCGAAACAAATAAGATACATTATTCATTTTATTGTCTTTAACAGAAATAACTCTTATCAAAACTCAACTCTATTTTGAATGACGACCATTACGCCTTCTTCACCTAATATAATTCTTCACCTATATAAAAGCAATGCTGCTCAAACACTTAGGTCTATCACTGACACCTACCCTATCGTGGGATACTCATATGAGCGAAGTGCTTGGTACAATAAACCATACCCATAACCACATGAAGTTAATAAAATGGAATGTTAACAGAGCAGTACTTGATATTGCATATAAAAGCTTTCTCCTTACAGTAATAAGTTATGGCAGTGAACTGTACTCATTAACAACAGAAAAAAACTTAGATAAATTACAATCAGCCCAGTACCAAATTGCTATAACGGTGACAGGCGCTATGAGCGGCAGCGATACTAACAAAGTACTTAAAGATCTCGGATGGCTCTCGATCAGGAACCTATTCGAAGTAAATCGCATGTGCATGTTTTTTAAAATTAAACACAGTCTAGTTCGCGTGCATGCACAGGATCTTATCCGTTTTTTACCGCATAATGCTCAACATTATCTTCGTGTGACACTAGATATAATTTGTACGCCTATAGCGATAAAAGCGTCGCTTTTCAAGATTCTTTTTATCCAACTATGATCCGGAAATGGAAGGAACTCAGTACAAAATCACCGTTATGTGTAAAAAAAAAAAGTTTTATATTCAGAAAAGAGCTAAGAATCAGCTTAATAGGGAACAATTTAAAAATATCATCGACATCTAGTCGACGCACAGAGGCCCTCTTTTGCCGCTTAAGAGTAGATTTTCCGCAGTTAAACCTTTATCTGTTTCAAAGAAATTATGTTTCATCTCCCTACTGCCTCCACTGTTTATCTCTGTCTCCACCAGTGTCCTTTAAAGAAGACTGTAATCATTTTCTATTTGATCGCTCAAACTATACTTCGCATAGAAACGTCCTGATTAATCAATTCAAAACACTAAATATTCCATTGAATAGAAATACCATTCTATTAAGATCATTCTTGAACAAAACTAACTATTTCAAAATATATGAAGCAGTTTGTCAATTTATAACTAACACCGCAAGTTTTAAATGATATTCGCAATTCCATCGTGCTACCAAAACTTCCGTTTCGAGTCTACTCCTATGATTCTCGCTCTCACATATGGTACCTCAACTGAATGAGTGCTCTTCCCCTCACATATTGTATACTGCACAGTGGGCATTTTTTGCTAGAGCAAGCGGACTTTAGCTTTATGAGTGAACTAAAATTTCATGAACCATCTTTTTATAGGTTTTTCATGATCCTCTTTCTAATGGCATGAGAGTTGGGTTTTA